TTTAAAACATTATGTATTTAAAAATAAATTATATAATAAGTAATATTATTAGATTATTTAAATATGAATAAATGATAATTTAATTGATTTTTATTAATTGAATTTGTAAGTTAATATAATTAAAATATTTATAACTTTATAATCATTAATTCAACTATAATGAAAATTTATATGCATCTATTTTCGAATCTGCTAAACAACTTTACTTACGATTTTAAAGTTGATTACCTTTGATCAAAATGCTTAAATTATTCTTTAAAGTTACTGAACAGAAAAAAAATAAAAAAATTTCGTGAGTTAATACAATTATGAAAAATGTTTACGACTCTACAACATTAATCCAATCATAATAAAAATTTGTATTCACCTATTTTCGAACATGTTGAACAATTTTACTTAAACTTTCAAAGTCAATATCCTTTGACTAATATACTAAACAGATAAAAATTATAAAAAAACATTTCATAAATTTCATAAGATAATATAAATATAAAAAATGATTATAACTATATAACCATTAAACCAATTATAATGAAAATTTAAATGCACCTATTTTTGAATCTGCTGAACAACTTAACTTAGGATTCTAAAGTCAATTACCTTTGACTTAAATTCTCAAATTGACCTTTGAAATAATTGAATAGATAAAAAAAATTACAATAAATTTACTTTTTTATATAAATAACCTTATTAGAAGTTAAAAAAGTAAGGTAAAATTAAATAAATGTAAAAAAAATTTTTTAATTTTTTACTTTATCATTTGTCCAATTAATTGGTTAAAAAAAATTTGGGATCAAAATTGACGATTTTGTGTAACCGATTTTGCTGATTAATCGTAATAATGAAAAATCGATTTAAGTCGTTTTCATTAAACGATTCTGCCGAGTTTGAGATTCAAAATCGTTATTACAATCGACTTCCGACTTTTGTGATTTTCCGACTTTCGATTCCGAACCCTATTCCAGGGCTTGGGATAATTTTTTGCTGGTTAATAGCTAGCTTTAACTACCATCATTATTAAGTAATTTTTGTTCTATCAGAAAATCGATTATAGAACTTGGTAAGTTTTACGAGTAATTCCTAAAATTTAAAAATAAAATAGAAACAGCTAAAGCTTATGGTTCTAATCGCGATGAAGTTTTAGTGTTCGTTATATATCCGCATACGATATTTTTAGGCGGTTAAGATCCTAGGATTATATATTTTCGAAATTTTAATTCAAATTTTTCGTTAAGTATACAATATGGGCAACAACATGCGCTAAATGATGATGAAATCTTGAAGATGACGAAATCTAAACACTAATATTATTAGAAATTCTGCATGAAAACAAGTCGACACTCAAGATTTTGAACAAAGTAAACTAAATTTATGTTCATTCAAATAATTTGTTGTTTGCATATAACCTCGATATTGAAAAAGAATGTTAGCATCGATCGAAAGCATTAGGGTATGGAAGTTATAACTGAAAAATTTAAATACCGATTTTGCCGATTCGACTTTCGATTTTTGATTTTTAAACGATTCCAATCCCTATACCCCCTCCCCTATACCCGTTGCAATTTAATGTAATATAATAATCTTGCCCCGATCTAATTTTATTAAATAGGGGCGATGCATCCGTAAAAAGGTCGAACTAACCACAAAATTTATCGTATCACATCAGTACCTTGTGGGTTTTGTTCCTAGTCCAATTATAAGGAATATAAGAACTTTATGTTCGCCCCCATTATCATATAATTTTTTAAATATGAACATAATGTAAATAAAATTTTGAGAATGAAAGAGATTCCTAATAACTTTCCCATTTGAAAATCGTTTTATTTTAAAACAAAACCAAGCCGATAAAGTCGAACGAGTTTCCAGATTGGTAACGACTACTAAATTTTATTCGTACTACAGAACAATCATTTATTGTCAAATATTTCGCGTAAATTTTTTTTTTTTATCATATACTTCTTTTTTCACAAAAACACGAGTGGTAAAACTAGTTTGGTCATTTTACAATTTCTTAAGGAAGTAACAGATTATTCACAGACAACATACATCGAATAAAAAGATTAACTGAATTTTCAAGATAAAAGTTTTATTGAAAACATTTATGATATTTACAAATATATATTAAAAAAATTTTTTCGATTTATCAATTAAAATCTTGAGCGACGATTCAAAGAATATGAATTCCTTATAATAATGTATTTAAAATATTAACACCCAGATAATGAAAGAAAAAAATATTTTTAGACGTAAGAACTCACTTGATCTGGTTTAGAAATTCTCATTATCTTGAAACTGGACCGTTCCAACACTTGGTTGTAGAACCATCTGGACGGAAACAAGAATTTAAACGAACGCAGAATCCTTCATTTGGAGGTGGTCTGGCACATACATGCCCAGACATAAAACAGTCTTTGTCTTCCTTGCACGTGAATACCGCGAAAATATTGTGCGTAAGAATAAAGATCACACAAAGGAAAATAAGAAAGCGTAGGTGATACATTTTTAAAGAGCTAAATTTTTAAAGAGCTAAAATGTGTAATTTTTTTTTTTTTTTAGAAAATATTTGAACTACTGAATTATCAAAATAAGTCGTATTTATAATAATAATTAAATCGTGGTTGGATTTATAATGCGAAATCGTATGTTCAATAAACGTGTGAAATACTCTTCAACATGGGAAAATCAGCTAACAAAATTGGCGTAGATTATTTATAAATGTTTTAGTGTAAAAAATAAAATATGACAAATAATGATTTATTAATGTGACGTCTTAGAAAAGTTATGAAATCACTGCAAAGAATATCGGGGAATTTCTAGAAAAATTGACCCATGGCATGATCAGATGGGTAGATCACTAACCACATTTGTATTGTTAACTAAGAAATTTTTTACGATGCTATCTTCGAATGGGTTTTCACATCGGAGAAATACCTTTTTCATATTATGCCGTACTAATTATGAATTGGATCTTTGCTTGTAAAAATATTAGACCAAAATTTGGTCCGGAATTGGAATTCAAATGTCTCTTTCTAAGTGCCTGAAATTGAAATCCAATTTCAGATTTTTGTAAAGCTAACTAAACCCTTTATTCTTATAAATTTCTTGCTGCAAGCATTCACAGTTCTTTGAAACTTTATCTTCTCGATAAAAACTTAATAAAATATTTATTTTACATTTATGATATATTATAACTTATTTACCATGAATGATTTCAAAAATAATTTAGTGCTCATTTTTAACAACTTTTTTTAAAAAAAAAAAATATATTTAAAAAATTTAACTCAATGTTATGGCAAATTCCTTATTTTCAAACGGCCTTTGTTGAAATCCAAATTTTTATCTGTATTCTATTTATTCAAGTTAAATACTTGATTTGTATGAAATTCAATCAAATAATCTGATTTCAGATTTCCTCGAATCTTTATTTGGAATTTTGAATTAAATTAAGCCAAAGAATTCCAGGTCGAATTTTTAACGAAAAAATAAAATAATTATTGATTTTATGTTAAAACTAATACTAATTATTATTTAAACCTTTGACATTTTGATAGTTTTGACATTTTTTTTAAAAAAAAAAAAAGGTTTAAACATGTTTCAATTTTTGAAATTATTAAAATTCTAAGATTATGGCAACTATACTTTCAACAATTTCTAAACCTTTCAACATTATTTAAACCTTTCGACAGTTTCGACTTTTAAAAATAAAAAGTCAAAACGTCTAAATAGG